CTGTTAAATGATATGGGGAGGGAATAGTGCTTGTAAATTTTAGGTTGAAAATGAGAAATATAATGATATGAGAGGAGAATTCACTTTTCCTCCCTTTCTTTGACTAACTCCCCCAGCCTTGAGCACAGCATTGGCACTCTGCTCTTCCTGCAGTTCTAGGGGTATGTGAAGGCTTCATATGAAATTTGAGAAATGTATGTACTTTTCTATTTCAGGAAAATGAACTCAGGAATTGAATGTGTATGTTGTTGGCTGTGAGGCTGCAATTTTACCCAGTGTGGCTTGGCTTTTTTATTTTTTAATAGTGAGTAAAAAATGCCAAGTCCTTTTTAAACAGAATACAGACATTCCCTTCTCCATTTCCTAAAGGAACTGATTTATTAATCTTTTGTGCATTTCTTTTTTCTTTACAGCAGTTTTAAAAGCCAAAGGGGTTACTTTACCCCAGAAAAATAATTGTTCCCTATTCTGTCTTCTCCTTCTTTTTAAACTTTTGTCTGAGTTGATAGATACCCAAGTTTGGCAACAATTTGTTAACTTTATAAAGATTTGTTAACAATCTGTATATAGACAGTAAGGATCAAGGATAGCCACTCAGAGACATGTGAGGTATACTGTGACCTTCCATAACTCCTATGTACATTTTTAAAGAAGATGTCAATGAATTCATACTTGCAAGGGCCTTAGAGTAAAATAAACAGAAGTGGTTTTGCCTCACTGCCCATTACTCAGAAGCCATGTTCTTGTTAGGATGGAATCCAAGCAGGAAATATCTTATCCTCACCAGGGAAGAAGAAACTAAACTCCAATTTTATCTAACTCTGTGATTGATGTAAACTACCTTCTCTCAGAAGGGGCTTAGAGTTGGTTAGGGGCTGAGTCCATTTCTTGAGAAGCAGTTGACAAGACCCATGCTGCTTTTAATTTGAACATTTGCATCCAGTTACCACTGAATGCTTAAGAGGAAAATGAGGATGGAATTGAGAGGTTGGAGATCAATGCAGCTATCAGGCGAAATTCTCAATAGATAAATTATCTGCCTATCACAGAAACTCAGAGGCATGTATGGTCTCATCATGCAAAGAATTTGAGCAAGATTGCACAATATTTTGGTCATATTTGTAGAAATACATAACTGACAGAGGTGTGTGTTTTGTTAGCTGCTTCCAATCTTCAGTGCACAAAGCCCTGTTCAGACATTAATCCCTCAGGAAGTTAGAATTGTGAGATGTGGAACATAGGACCTGCCTCCTCCCCAGAGCTTTCATCACACAACTCTATCATCATCTTCATTTTTGAAAGTAAATATCTGCTCTATGGATGTAGGGCCCTATGTGATTTGTAACACTGCATGGAGCCTACTTCTCATGAAAGATGGCAAAGTTGGGCAGCAATGAAACTGGTGATGCCAGCTTATAAATAGGTGAGACAGCCTCTTTATTATGTAATTCTAAAAGTGCATCAGATCCAGAAAACTAAGCAGAGGGAGTGATCTTTGAGCAGCTACTGAATTCTCTTTCAGTTCAGGATGTTTGCCTGAATACCTTAATGTTTTAAAGTTACTCATTACCAATGTAATAGAAAGGGAAGGGAGGAGAGGAGAGGAGAGGAGAGGAGAGCCACCCTTAACTTGAGGGCTCATTCATCAACTGGTGAAGTTGCAATCAATGCTTGATATGTTTAGGCTGGGTTCATCACATATAGGAGACATGTGATCTGTTGATACTAGCTTATTGTGTGACACCAGCCTGTTGTGGTTTATTCAATACACTCTAGTTAGGCAAATAATAGATTACTGTGATGTATATACCAGGTTTTGTTCTCTGTCTTTTTTTACCCACATCATCTATGTGCAAGCTGAACCCCAAAATCATGTGCAGCCTTCTGTGCTTCTTGCAGGTGCCCGTTATTCTTCCTGTTGGCCTGATCTCCCAGCAACCTGCCAACCTAGCTTTTTCTTGGGGTAACAGGAAAACACAGTTGTAGGATGGAAGTAGCTTTTCTTCAGCCTACTAAACAAGTGCTCTTTTTTTAAATAAATGAAAATGGAGGATGGGGAATGGAGTGGGTAGTATAAGAGACTATGAGTGTGCAACTTCCAATCCACCGTCTGATTTGGCTTGTGACTAGTTAGGGTGCCATTGTGACAGTCTCAGGTAGAGATGTCAGTTGTTACACCTAGGCTCTGTCAAGAGCTATTGGGGTTTTCAGAGACATGCTGTGACAAATCTGCAGGGCAGATAAAGAAAGGTACAGTCACTTGTATTTGCTGTGACAGCTTTCTGAAAGATAACGTAATGTCAGTAATAGGCAAACAATCCATACCCTATCCTTTGAGTTATAAATATTGATATTTTTTAACTGTGTTGAATTTTAGCTTAAGCATGTTAAACCAGAATCAGGTTACCTTTTTTTTAAAGTAGAATCAGGTTACATTTCGTGTATACATGTTTATACAGTATTAAATTTGCTTTCGTTTTAATTGGGCAGATACGAATATTGTAACAGTAACTTATTGTAACTTCATTTGCAACAGATACCACTTTTGTCTAGCTGTATAACTTTTAAAATATGATACTATGTTTGACATTGTAAAGGCTTATAATTTTTTTAAAACAAACTTATTTATAGACTGTTATTATTTGCTTATGGTAAAATATCTTCCTTAAAATCTATCGTTATTTATTTATTTTAAGCATCAGAACATAGCTTCTCCTTTAATCTGAATGCTAAACTTGTTGGTTGTAAATTAGTATGTCTCTGTCTCTCTCTCTCTCTCTCTCTGTGCGTGTGTGTGTATGAATAATACAGTATTTTTATCTTATTTATAATATGTCTTTTATCATCTTTCCATTAAGCTGTTCCTCACATAATAGGGATAAGTCATAATTCAGCTAACAACATTTATATATGTTAAAAAAATCAATGCCAGTTTTTATTAGTATATATAACATGTAATTACATTTTAATTGACATATCCTTAAGCTCTGGTTAAGAGTAGTATAGAAGAATAAAAGCAGTGGAGAAAAAATAGAAGATTAAAATTTTATTTATTACTGGCAGCATAGGGACTGCTATTGTATGCAGATTCTAAAGTTCAGATTATTGTTATTATGGTTGGTTGCACAGTCAGCCAGATGTTTAGACTGGATTTGGCATTTTTGTCCACCTATCAAGTCCTTCCAAAGGACCTGGGATAGGCGGATGTTGTTGTTTGATGGGGTTAAAGGTATCGTTGCAGGATATAAGCTGTTCCAAGTGAAGCTCCCTTTTGCAATTTACTGATGGTGATTTTGCCAATGCCGATGGTGTTTGTGGTACTCCAGATGTTTTGGGATTGCAGCCAAGGCACTTATTACTATTGGTACTATCTTTGCTTTCTTTTGCCACAATCATTTTATTTCTATTTGCAGGTCTTTGTATTTTGTGATTTTCTCCAGTGCTTTCTCTTCTGGTCTGCTGTCTCCAGATATTGCAGTGTCCACTATCCAGACTTTTTTTGTCTTTCTTATCAACAATTGTTAAGTCTGGGTTGTTGTGTGGCAGGTGCTTCTCTCTTTGAATTCTAAAGTCCCAGAGCACTTTAGCTTCTTCATTTTCTATTACTTTATCTTTTTTTTGGTCCCTCCCCTTTTTTGTTTTC